TACCTTTTAAAATTGCGTAGTTTTATTTATGGATTATTTTTGGAAAGCGGATGTAATCATATAAATAGACTTAATGTCATTATTAGAGGATATAGATTATTGGGAATGAAAGAAATTTCCGTTAATGAGCAAAATCCTGTTTGCATTAAAATATAGGTACATTATACCGCTATTTATATCTCGTATTGGAGTTATAGATTTTTTTTATGTTATATCATGAGCAATTCTTTCAAGTAAAGAACACTGACGTTAATAAAAAAATAATTATAGATAACAAATAAAACTAAAATAAATTGTTACAGAATTTTCTCTTAACAGTTCACAGTGAATGAAAATGAATAGTGATAAAGAAATGTTCAAGTAAGAATAAATATTATTAATCTGATCGGAAACTTAAAAAATTTTCTGCAATGTGCTAAAGACATTGAATAGAAAAATAAAAAAAGGCTTGAATGCAAAAAATTATAGGTAACAATACTAAAAAAAAGTAAAAATAAACGAATTGGTCAATGTATAAAAACGAAGAGAAAAGAATGGGCTTGAGAAAAAAACTCAAGGACGTTGGAAGATCATTGGTGGATTTTCTTCGTAATCTTAACAAATTAGCTGCTTTCACTCGCAAAGCTCGACGAGACCTTAATTAGCAAACCCGTTTTTCTCACTCCTCTCTCTCTCTCTCTCTCTCTCTCTCTCTCTTTCTCTCTCTCTTTCTTTCTTGCAGTTTTACTAAGCTTTGGCGCTTTAATGAGTCTCGGTGACTTTTCCCTTTTCCCACTAAATGTACTTCTTACAGTCTATTCTGAACTAGAATCTCAGTAAGGAGATTTAAAATAGTGATTTTATTTAATTATACATATAAAACTATTCACTCCTAATATATATATATATATATATATATTATATTAAAAGAATAGATTTAATTTTAAACTATAAAATTTCAAATTATCACAATAAATACTAACTATAACAAAAATGTTATGATTAGAAATAATAATAGCATACGCAAAGTAAAATTTAAGAGTTGGTTTAAACATTTTTTAAATGTATGCGCAGTATGATAAAAAATCTATAAAAATAACGCTAATTATTCGCGTGGAAATAAAAAGAAAATAATGAGTGACATTTATCATGTCGGTGGATAAGTTTTGTAGATTATTTTAAAGAAAATATATGATTTATCGATTTTCGAAAAGATTTAAAAATGAAATTTTTAATTTCTTATTAACATTAAGTGGCATTTATATCAGAATATAATAAATCTATGGAATTAAAAAGCATGGAAAACAAAATAAATTTAAAGATCTTATCACAAACAAAATTGCTATTAATATTGGGAAAAACTAACGATTCTCATAAATATTAAAAGTACAAATTAACCAAATAACGATGACATTTATTGTAATTATTGAAATTATATCGAGGAAATTTATTGTATTAATGTAGATATAAAATATTCTTATTTCAAGCATTAATCTATTGTCACTATATTTAAAAGAATTTTAACAATTAATTAAAACATAAAATTTAAGGATAATTGAACTTAGCAGCTTTAGGACATTTTGAAACAAAAATTCATCATAAATAAATGATTTAAAAGCATTTAACTAACTTTTGACTAACAATAATAATGTGTGAAATATTTGATGGAATATGCTTTTAGTAGAATTTATTATTAAAACTGATTTCATAGTTCAAAATTTTCAAATAATATTTCGATACATAAAATTTAATATCATTAACTTAGATTGATACACATGTGCGAATGATAAAACACGCAACTTGATGATCTTGTGAATCGTCCGATAAATATTTATATTACTATTTTTGAAAAATAGTAGGAGATAGTTTAAAAACTTTCAAGTCCAGTAGAAAGCATATACTTCATATATCTAATGATTAATGAAGGTAGTAGATATCGTACAAATAAAATATTAAAATTCACTTATTTCTTGTATGTGATTAATACAAATTGCTTGCAACTGATAATATCATGAAAAAATGAGAGAAATTTTCATGAACGAATAAGTTAAGGGAAGTAAATTCCATTTGCACTTTTACTCCTACGTGGAGTACCACATAGAAAAGAAATATATCTTTAAGAACTGAAGAAGTAAGTATAAAATTGTTGTATTTATTCGTTAAAATTCTTTTTCCATTTCTCGCAAAACAATATTATATTATAATAAATTTTTATTTCAAACCGTTATATTAATAAATACAAGCCCACTCGACTTTATATTTATAACCTATTTTTATATCAATTCATTGTTCTCTCAAGATACTAAGATACTATTCTTATTCCGTTTTCAACTTTTATTCGCTAAACGACCGCAATCTCACTGCGCATTCAAAAACTGATGCATTCAGAAAATAATCACCTTGTATGAACAGTATAATCCTGTTCCTATATGGATTCAAGTACGTAAGTGCAAGTGAAAAGAATTCATCGAGACGTTAAAAACCACACATTCGCGTAAATACACAAATATATAAAATATAAGTGGATGGGCATAAAGGAGTTTTCTTGCCCGACACGCACGTACAAAGCACAATATATAAACGGCTATAAATATAATTTATCTTGTACTTTTCTTGGTCTAAGGCATTGTCTACGACCGTTCTAGAATCTTTTCTTTACCTTTTCTTTACTTTCATCATATCCCGCAGCCGTATTCTGCTTTTGTCTCTAGACTTTTTGTTTCCTTTTCCCGTATCTGAAAGCATAGTCGGCGTAAAATTTCCACTTAGTACATCTGTGTACGCGCATTGGGCAAATAAACTGACACGTGTGGTAAAATCATATTTGACTGCTTGTTATTTGTATAGCAGATTCCGTTCGATCTTTAGTTAATATCAAAGACCGCAAGTATATATATCCGCATATATTTACTGATATATGTAACGACTGATCCAATATATTTATTCCTATATAAAGTAATGATATAGTTTACACAGTTAAGACTAATCAATTTAAATCGAACGAAAAGTCAATAGACGTATTAATGAAATTCCATCAGTTTTAATTTGATAAATAACATGAACGACACATTAAAGCATGAACATTTTTTTATATTATTTTTAATTGAATCTTCGCTTATTATATGTAATTATGTACATGTAAATATAAAAGCAATTATATTATTTTCCATGTACAATTATTAATATATCATTCAATGATATCTTATAGAACGTGTAATGCATTTGATGATTCATTCGTTTTCTATAAGATCATGATAATGAAGGCGAGAAAAAATATTTTTCAAATTGTTTGTAAAAATGAAAAATTTTCCAAATTAACTTCATGAAGCTGAAATCTAATTTCTTGAATAAATGCAAACAAGTTTCCATATTTTTCCTTATTTTGATTAATATAATTTTAATACTTTTCATTATCTAAAAATTCAGTGATTCTATTAAAATCAACAATATTTACTGTTTTACATATAGTTTATTTTATATGTAATGTCTTTTTATATAGAAATTATGACAATTGCCAAAGAACATGTCGATTCAGCAGAAAAATAAAAACATTGTCGTTACACACAGTATATACATAATTTGTGTGTGTGCGTGCGTGTGTGTGCGTGCGTGTGTGTGTGTGTGTGTGTATTTATATATATACACAAACAGGCAACACTACTGACATGAAAGAAAAAAGTTTGAGTTTAACACTTGGTACGAGTCTTGATTTATTTTCGTAATTAACATTAAACATTGATTTAAATATTTCTCAACAAAACATATTTCAGAAAATATTTTTAAAATTGATGTATCTAAAATTATAAAGGCTAATGAATAATGTATATTAATAAAAAATATTGTGCTGTCTTATTGACTTCTTAAGCTATTAAAAATATAACGGCATAATTTCTTGTTATACAAAGCTATGTACTTTAAAATAAATTTAATATTTTTAAATATTTATTGATGTTTAATATAAAAAGAATGACTACAGTTTAGTATTCTATAATTTAATGTTTATTAATTTTGGAAAATTTTATGAAGAATATTTTTATAATATTACATTGCCGTACGTAAGAGATATTTTATAATAAAAAATTTCTATTTTTAACTGTAGTTCATTTATGTTTTATTAAAATCAAATACCATATAACTAATGATCAAATAATTTGTTTTATAGTAAAGAATGAGAAATCTATACTTAATAAAGTTAATTTAGAGTAATAAACCAAAAATTAATGAATTGAATAAAAAATAAAAAATGTTGAAAATGCTATTTTTTATGATTAAAATAGTATTATTTAAATTGTTTTTATTAGTCACAACTTTGAAAATAATAAATTGAACCAATATAGACAAAATTTTTCTGAAAAGCTCTAATTTTAATAATCATTTGAAATTCCAATTATCAATTAAAATGCTTGAAATATTGGGTTACAGTGAAATACGTCGCTATTAAAACTTGGGCAATTAAATTCGCTTAATAGCATCAAATGTTCGGTGTACTTCGCTAAGTGTATATTCACGAAATCAGTAGATTATTGTTTGCTATGAGCGATAATAGAAGATAAAAAGGCGACTCGCCAAAAATAAAGTCAACAAGGCCACTTAAGTTAAATGCAAAGCTCGAGCGAGCGCATCTGCTCCTTCCTCTCTCTCTCTCTCTCTCTCTCTCTCTCTCTGTCTCTCACTCTCGCGTAACGAGAATAGCAGCGGTAAGCCTCGATCGGGGATAGTACACGTGCATGCATCTCGTACTAAGATCGGCAAAGGGGTGGGGGAAGAGCATCGCCGAGTAGGCGGCCGATAAATTTGTAAGCCGCGGGTGCCGCAGTACCGCAACGTCAGCGACTCTCGTTGTATCGTTCCCGAGCGCTCGATCCTTCCGCTAATTACGCCCATCGATCACCCAACTTTCCCTTCCGCTGGCCGACGTTGTGTCTCGGATTTCTTCTCGCACACCCTCAAACTCCGCCTGCCCCCCCCCCCCCCCCCCCCCCCCCCCCCCCCCCCCCACCCACCCCGCCCATCCACCCACCCATTTACCTCTACGCAGTTACCGAGCTAGTTTACGGGCATGTTTACGAAGGTACGATAGCTCGCTCGGTTATTGGCCGACACTTTTTAAAGGATCGCTCTCGGCGATGGTGGACATTGCCCCGTTGATCAAAGGTACGCGTTGTACTTTTTCTTCCTTCTCTATAGGATTCGAACTCAAAGGGCTGACGTTCTCGCCAATCACTTTCTTCTTCCTTCACTGTAATTACCTATAATAGACTGTTTAGGTGAGATCGACTTTAAATGTTTATTTAGAGACATGATTTGTTTTCAGTAGTAAATCCACTTTGTTTGCTGCGGTAAATAATAAATGAAAACCCTAGGAGAGCAATGTTTTCCAATATATATTTTATGGGTATATTCAGTGGTCGGTTGTGAGACGCATGTTGAGTGAAAATAAAAACGATGTTACTCGACAATGTAACTTCATTCAAGTTTTAACTACGAAGAACACTATAACAGTAGTCAAAAAAAAAAAAAAAAAAAAAAATAAGAGAGAAAAATTAATTTTCAGTTTTTTACTTATGATAAATATTTCATGAAGTATTTCACTATTCAATGCAGACTATAGGTTAATATAAACACTTGAAGGTAAATTAAAGAGTATTTACAAATGAATATAATAATATTTACAATAGTATATAAATTCTTGTTACTTTTGCCTAAATTTTAATAAAATATTGCCAAACATATTTTTAGCCGAACTATTATAAACATTGTAAGTAAGTCTTTTGTAACTAACGGCTTTCCAATGCTCGTCATTAATAATTTTCTAATTAAGTTTCTCTGTGCCCTTAATAAAAATTAGAAAAAAAGAAAAAATGAAGAAGAAGTCTTCACTATTACAATTCCATTCTTGTAACAGTGCATATCTGTATTAATATTTTTATATTGCAGCAGTAACCAGCAAATTTTTTCCTGTCTACTTTTCTTTGTCAACTCGCACATGTTAAATTCCATATTTCGTGTCTTCTCACCCCTGCAGCGGTTCTCAGACAAAGAGAAGTTGTACATTACTGGTATTTAAATCCTGCGTAAAGGCACAACGTTCTACAAAAACAAAAAGTAAGAATGACCTGAGCACTTATGCTTTTTGCTACTTTTCAACGGGGATCGGCTCGAACTATCCCCTTTTTTCCCCTTTGCGTTTGCATGCGAAAAATAAAAAGCCAGTTGAAGTCAACACCGCGTGCATCCATGTTTTGCTTATATTATTTTTATATCCTTTGTACGGGGGTACGTACTGTACGTCCACGTACATGCGCGTTCAAAAACGTCCGCAGCTCTCTCACTCACAGAGAAAAAAAAACATCGCAAGTGTAGTCCACGCTGCTGACTTTTCTATGAACAGTAATGGAAAGCCTTAGTAAAAAAAATTTAATGTACGCCGCCACCCATGCACTACCAATAATTTTTTGTTTTTTTTTTTTTTATTATATTTACCTTTTAAATGCAATCGCATAAAAACATTGACCTTTTTCATACAAGATTATCACTTATGCTCGATATTATTGATTTTACAAAATATTACCTCATGTTAGGTAATATTATTAAAATTATTATAAAATAGTTAAATATTTTGGGAAAATTTGCTTTATGGCGATTATTTTATTTATACGAGAAATTTCAGTGAATCTACTGGAGTGTACTTCAATTAAAAGCAAACTACGATAGAATGATTTTGAATATTTGTTAAAATACGTTTTTCAAATTTTACAAATCCAATTTTCATATTCAGTATCGCGGTCACTTTAAAGGACATCCCTCGAAATAATAATAACTATTTAATATAATAAAAACAATTTTCATTATTTTGTTTACAAATGTAATTATAGTTACTATGCAAATTTTTTGCGTAAAATACTTAATGGCATATCTTAGAATACGCTAACGTTCAACTATTGTATTCGCTAAAATTTAATAAAATACCGATTAAATGTAGAAATGGTGCCATTAGAAATAAACGATATCACAATTACATTAAAATATTGTGTAATATGAATCATACGACTAACTAAACAGAGAATAATAATAAATTGCATTAAACTTTATAAGTGATTTTATAATGCATAATTCGCATAATTTTAACGACCGAATAAGACATTTGCTTCGTTTATTTAATAAGGCACGCGATGAAAAGCAGGTATTAATGACTTGATTAAAAATGATGAATAAGCAAGTGATCGAGTTGAATCCCTTTCTTTCCCTTTTGAGTTTTAGCGCTCATAGTACAATGGTGTGTGCTTCGGATTACGAATTTAAGCCATTGAGATTATCACGCCTACTTCTCCCCCACTTTCTTGTCATTTTCATTCCATGCATTCGGCCGAGAGGATTGCAGGGGGCTATTCGTTTTAAAAGTTTCTTTCTTTCATACTACGTGATTTTAAATTATGACTGGAACTTATTTTTCCTCGTCTTTCTTCAACTGGACTTGCATTATATCTAGGCATTATTCTGCTAGGATAGGTTTAATTTAAGAGAGATTCAGAATGATGAAAATTTATTATAAATAATATTTTAGGAAGAGAAATATGTGCTTTCTCTAGAATGAAAATATTAAATAGCATAAATATAATTTTAAATAATAAAATGGAAATTATACGACGATTATTTAACCTTAATTATATCTAATAATTATAAAATTCGGATAGTATTCATTTTAAATGTAATAATTAGCAAAACTTGAAGATCATTTAATAAAAATTCGCTACAATAATAGTTTACAAAAAATTGATGATTTAGTGTTAACTATAATATTTAAATATATTAACATTTTACAGGGAATTATAAAAAAATAACTTACGCTTGTGAAGAATATTTCTCATACATCGATTACACAAATTATCATTCTTAAATAATATAAGAATTTTTAATTAACCACCATAGTACAGTATTATCAAAAGGATTTGTTTAAAATAAGATTCAATCATTATACAATGGAAGCAAAAAATAATTGTATGCGCGGGCCTGTGCGTGCGTATGCGCGCGTCTGTGTGTATACGTACGTATGCAAGTGAATATGCGTGAATAGACAAAACCATCTTTCATGTACAAATTAATAATCTTAATAGTTTATTTAACTACAGTAATGAATACACGAAAGAAATAATTATCCGAATAATTAAAATATTAATCAGTTATAAAATAATATCTTTAGAATTAAATCAATTTATGCTTTGGAAAATACGTTTCAAGATTTATGCTTTACGAATAAAGAAAATAATAAATGTAAAATAAAGTAAACACAGAAATAAAAAAATTTACTAATATTTTATCTTTCTTCTTATGATAAATTCTTAGACGACGCATTATATACTGCCTTATTACTTTGTTTATATTATTATTATATTATTTATATTATTATTAATTATATATTATTATTAATTTGAACAAAAAATTTATAAATAATTACCTTGAATTCACAATTGAAAATCAAACAAAGCATAGTGGAGCATTTTGCTTATAAAAATTAAATGATAGAGACCAATAATATTAAGAGAGCCAGAATCGTCCCTTAAATCAATATAAACATGTCAAAATAAAAATATAACATAAACAGAAAAACCTGTTAAACTTATTTCAAATTCCGTATCAATAGAATCAAATAAAAGCACTTTCATCCATTGTTTAAATTGATTGAATATGAGTATATATTATTAAAGCTTTTTTCTTCTATGATATAATCCAAATATTATTTTCTGTACGTGATCTGGATGTATTATGAAATAAAAGCAGTATTTATGATATCAATAATATAGATATAGAAGTAAAACAATATTTTAAAATTTTTTATTTATTTCGAAAAATTGAAAAAAAAGAAGATTTTATTCATAATAATTTAAAATAATAATGATAAAGTAAAATTCTTATTATTAGAAGTAATGATTATTATTTATTAATAATATAAAACTGTAGACTATAATTGATATAATAGATAGATTATAATAGAATTATAACAAATTAAAGAATTATTTTAATTATTATAAATAGAATAATTTAGAATAATACAAAGAATAAGAATTTATAATTTCATTCTTCTTTTAATCGAAATAATAATATATGTTTTATAATTCATGAATGTTCAAATGATAATGCACAAAGTAATATTTAAATTGTTATTATCTTTTATTAATATAAACCTTTGCTAACATAAAAAATATATATTTATAATTACGGAATAGAGTTGATGATTTTTGTTCTTCATACTATTAACGTAATTAAATCATATTAGTGAAGTATAAATTTTATGCCAGAATAGACTGTAAAAAAGTATCATTAAAGTTTTTCATAGTAAAATCATAAAAAATCTCTTAAGCAGATGAAGGCCAAAATAAAAGAACCATGCGAAGAATTGGCAAATAAGAAATTCTGCGTACTTAATGTGTGTAACAATTATACTCAGCATTTCCTGAAATAAAATTTATAATATTATTTAATAATTTACTTATTAAACATATTTATATTAAATTTACGTATATCAAGACACTATAGGACATGAAAAATGTAAAGTAATTAAATTTTAAAACTTATACAATTGATATCATTTATATATATATATATATATATATATATACATTATTTTAGTGAATTTTGTTAGTTTGTAATTTCAAATACATTTTATCGAGCATTGATTTGCATTTTAATAGATTTTTTTTTAGTGTATAAACACTTAAAATACTTTGAAAAGAAAAAGGTTTTTAAGTTCAATACTAATACTCTCTAATTATTGGACTTTTATAATCTCATTTCTTGTAACAAATATTAAATTATTTGTTGATCAAAAAATTTACTTAATGAAAAGTTAATACTCATTAGTTAATTATATTAGTTAGTTTATTTTTATATACCAAAAATATAATTTAGAATAAGTAAATAATGATTATGATGTAGTTGTAAACAAAACTATAAATAATTTATTGACCAATGATATTTGTCTGTATATGTTTCATTTTAATTATTGTGCATAAATAAATCTTTGCAATAAATCATGCTTTTCTAAATAAATTTTCTATATTGGATAATAATAAAAACCATAAGACAAATTATTATTATTTAAAAAAATATATATTGTTTGTAATATTTAACTTAATTAAAAGTTTAATTATAAAACT